AATCTAAATAAATATTTCAACATGGACATTTATAGTCACAGACATGGCTAAGTAAAACCAGCATGCTCTTCTTCAGTAGAGCAGCTCCAAGTGTGCATTCAGAAGCAAATTTTCTGTGTAGTGACCTGAAGAAGTGACTTCAGCCACATGGTGCATCTGTTAGTGAATGAAGCACAGTCTCGTCTTTATTGTGCTCTGTCAACAGAAATTAGTGGTGTTTTCTGACTGCAGAATCTCTATTACTTGCAGTATTGCTCAGGCAAGGGAGACTGTAGGTCGATGTATGGCTCACAGGCCGAGTGTGGGAGGCTGGCACTTGTGAATTGTGCCATGCTCGATGAGTGAGGTGAACCAGCAAGTCCTCAAGAGAAGTCAGACTTGGTGCTTTGTGGTGCCATTGGTCATAATTTTCAAGACAGAATGGATTACACTTTTAGAATATGTGTTCTATTTTTATCATTTTCTTTAAATGCAATTAGATCAAATTACTAATGCATATTAAGGGAAAATGGCCATGAATATAACTACTATGAAGAAGTATTTTAGAAATCTCAGAGTATCAACTTTTTCAACCATTTCTGTTTTGATAAATGAGCTATGGGTATGATATTCATCTCTTGCATAACTCTTCTCTATACTGTGTGAAAATAACCCTTAATTGTAGAACATGATTAATTTTCTTCCGTAAATGGACAAGAAACACAATTCTTGTAAGCAAAGAAGGTTGGCAATAGGTGGGGAGGGGAGTTCTCTTTCCTTAGTAACTTCCATAAGCAGTGGAAGATCTCTTTTGTCAAAAACCCACTGAGTTAGATTAAAGTCTTTGTATGTGTTTATAAATTATAAATGTTTTTGATTAACAGAAAAGTGTGCTTGCATTTAAGAAACATAAAAGGAACATCCATTCCGATAGATAATCCACAAACTTATGTATAAGGAAAGAAAGTGCTAAAGAATCATATTTTTGTAACAGGTTCACTTCAAGCTTTTTGCCAGGGTACTTTCCATGATCTGAAGTCCAATACTGTAATAGTGTCATAAAAATGACTTAGAAAGCTCAGATGCTGTTGTACTTTTTCCTGCATGTTATATCAATTATGAAAAACATATTGGATTAGGACTTTGCAGTATAATGACTATTAAGTGACGTAATATGAAACTGGTGGCCAAGAGGTCCTGAATGTTAGCTTCAGGTGTGCCACTAACTGTGTTATCTTGAACAAATTCCTTATACCTCATGCTTCTGCTTATCTTCTACCTATCAAATAGACTTGTTGATTTCCATAACTTTAAAATTAGTAAAGCAGTACTGGAAGTACATAACAGTAACAGGATTCAGCCTGCACTCCTTCTCTTTGAGTCATATGTGATGTCGGTAGGTGGTCTTGTGCAAAGCAACAGAGCAGTCTGTCAGAAAAATATACAAAGTTCTCTTTCTTTCTTCTTTTTTAACTTCTAGAGTTGAAATTTTATATCCTCAGCATGAAAATGGCTTCTTATTACCTAGTTTGTAGAGCCATGGTCTCACTTAGAATGAAATTTAGGCCCTGGAATGGGCTATATAAAATCTGGGATTTGGGAGTGTAACTGCTAATTTAATAGTGTCACTGATGACGCAGCAGGTGAATTTCAACCTTAACCCAAAATTTAAAAAATAATAATCTCAGAAGTCAAACTCCTCAATCTGTGTCCAAAGTTGGTGTATCAGTGTAAATTCTCTTCACTGATGGAGTCCTAAAAAGATGACCTAATTTTTCAAATAGAAACGTCTTTTTGACATTAACTTAACCTGGATGTGCTCACCACTTTGGAAAAACAGGTCACGTAGCAATTTAAGTTGCACTCAGGAGTTTGATTCTAGACTCTTGGTCTTTTAAATATTCATCATGCTAGTCTTAATATAGAGATGCCCAGAGAAGGATGTATGCATTGCAGTGAAAAATACAATGAACATATAAATTAGTAAGTATTGAACAAACCAAGTTCGTTTTTGAAACAACTTCTCTGGACAGCTGCTCGGACAGGTATTCTTCAGAAAAAACCAGAATGGGTTAACAAAGAAAAATAAATATAGTTTCCTTCACTTTGACAGCTGGTTTTTTTGAGTACTTCTCTTGTCTTGCTAATATTCTTGAGTAGAATCTGTTGGAGGAGCAGTACTTCCTTGATCTATAGAAAGAAGATATTACGTGATAATTATATACAGGAGATGTTGGATAAAAGCCCAACAGCATTTATCATTTAGTGTTTTAAACATTTCCAAACCACAATGAGAATATAACTTTGGGCTGGTACAATACTATTTTGCATAAATATTTGCTAATTAATGTTAATATGTACAGTAGGTTTTATGCAATGGTAATAATGCTTTGCCTGTTTCCCAAGAATAATTCAGATATTAATTATATTCTCAAAACACACTGCAGATAATAAGCACTAAATATTATTGTTATTAATTGGGTTCTTTTGAGATATAAAACTTCTAGAGTTGCACAAGTCTTTAAGCACATTATTTTAAGCACATATTTTCGCAGTCCTCAGGCCCGATGTAACCTAAATCAACAATCATTTCAAATTGTATTTACTTTTACAGAATATAGATTGTAATTAATCATGTCTTTTGAGAAGGAGGAGAACTGGAACTGACCTCTTGGCAGATTTTGTAAGCTTTAGCTTTTCACTAAGATTCTCCTCTATTATTTTCATATGCAACCCTTTTTCTCCTGCCACGGGGTAAATTGTAAATGTAAATGGTTGCAGCCCCACTGCCTTCAGTGGAATTGCACCCATTTGCCCAGGGTGTTTGTGTCTCCTCTCTTGCTCTGTGAGCTCTTTTGTTGTGCATAAAACATACTCTTTATCTGTATTTTCTGGTTTGTCCATCTCCAGCACTACTTCCTTCTTCTTACATTTATCTGAGCCCAAGCATTACTTGTACCTAAAATTCAAGGTTTGCTGAGACAAATGCTCAAGTGTTGGCTCAGCCTGCCATTTACTGAGGAATTAATTCACTGCTGGAGTTGAAAGAATTAACAGTAAGATTCATAAGAAAGCATTGAAGTAGTTTATTCAGCCATTTATTCCTGTGTTCAATATTGAATAATGCTCATTTTTTTTTCATGTATTTCTGTTGTATTTGACTATGCAGCGCTAAGACACTCCAGAAGTTGCATTTGTGTAATTATAATAGTAAAACATTATATTTTACATCCGATTTTGACTTTTCTTCTCATTTGTATGTCTCAGTAGACCTCAGTGGAATGTCAGAATATCAATAAATGGGTCTTTGGAGAATAAGGCTCTAAGACTCCAAAGAAATGTAATTAATTTATCAAAAGGCTACTGTAAAGCAGTAATTTGAATCTGTAACATGAAAAATAATTATAAAACTAGAACACAATGGTAGCAGGGAGCACTATAAAAATGAGCAGTGCTATCAGGTGTATGTTAGCAGGCTACCAACTATTCGTATTGTCAAGACCTTAAAGAAGAATTTCTGTAATAAACTCAGACTTACCAAATGGAAATGTCAGAAAGTGTGAAAAGTCTGGGCATATTAATCAATCAAAGTATGACTTTGAGTTATAAACTTGTCATGTGGCTACAAAAAAGGAAAACCTAATCATAGACTGTATCAGGCAATGAATTACCACTATTATATTGCTGAACTCTCCTCTGGAATACCTTATCCATTCCAGTCAGCCTTCTTTCAGAGAGGTGAATTCTTACTGAAGCAGGTGAGGAAAAAGGGGAATTAACATTAACAGCAGTTGACAAGCTACCTCAAGAGGCAGGAACTGAGTATCGTAGTTAAGTGAGTGCTGGGAGCAAATATGCTCTAAATAAATGCAGTGTGCAAGAGGAGTCGATCAAGCCATGGTTACATAAGGTAAAAACAAATGTTAATTTTAAAGTAAAAGGACATGTACTGTCTATGAAAAAGTCAGAATTTGCCCAGCTGTCTGTTGAGTAATGTTCTGGGCATGGCTTTCAATAGGAGTTGAGGGAAAACTATGGGGAAATGGCTTGTGTTCTCTCATGGCCCCTAGTTGCAAAGATGAGAGTTAATTGATGAAGATCCACATTGCTCCTTTTTGGTATGTTCCCTACTGTAAAAGATCACTTAAGGCACTGGCTTATATAACTAGAAAAATGTGTTGAGGCAGGTTATTTGGTGACCTTCTTACCATGAGAGTGAAAAACAGATACGACGTGTTCTTTGTTAAGTTTTTGCCATATTACAAAACCAGTAAGGGCAAAATGATGTGTTTATTAACCTTTAGCTAGAGTGGTGCCTATGTTAGCATTAGTATTAGTCCCTGTGCTAGACCCTTTATATTGCTTTGGAACTTAAAAAATTCAGAAGGTACAAGTTAAAGCAGGTTCACATTATAATCCCTGTTATTTGTTGAGACCTAATAAATAAAAGGCATTTTTGTTGACTTTTCATTATAAAAGATGCTGCTGAAGGAAGTAACGATAGCCAACCTTTTGACATAATTGTTTCAAGAATGAACCTGCCTGTGCTCTTGCTTAAAATCTTTGGTCCTTAATACCTTAGTGAAAACTTGGATGATATATAGGGTGTCAGAACAATAATTTCTCTGAGACTAATCCATCTGAGCCAATCTGGACATGCTGTACCGAACTGCAAACTCTCAGTGTGAGTTCAGATCGGATGGGTCATGTGAAGGTGGTCAGCTATCACTCAACTGGTATGACTGGTTCACATGTAGATGGTCCCAGGGGCCTGCAGTGGAATACATTTTGGTTCCCCAGTACAACTGTTTTGGTATTTGGGTGAACAAAGCAGCAGTCCTTAGGGCTGAAAGACTGCAACAGTCCCTAGCCTTTGAAACGTTCCCCACGCCCTGCCCTTCCTGATTCCAAGTGCCATGGCCATCTGACTCCATGTTCCTACAGCTTGGGCAGCAGTTTGTTCAGCAATCTTTCACTGCACTTACTTCCTTTTTATTTTCTTTTTTTTTCCTTCTTAACAGATGGACAAAAGAGGAAGAAATCATTAAGAAAGAAACTGGACTCATTAGGAAAGGAGAAGAACAGAGACAAAGGTAAAGTAAAACAAGTACATATTTACTGACTGGATCTTAGTTTTGCGTATGAGATTTCTTTAGTCTTAAATGGAGCAGGAGAATGTAACCAAGCTGATGTACTGCCTACGTATTTATTTCCAAGTTTAGAAATAAGTCTTATCTTTTCTGTCTGTCACTAGTATAACCCACATCTCTTCAATGGAAAACTTATTTCCTAGGAGAAAAGGAGGAGTTAAAAGACTACATCTTTTCATCCTTGTTCTTTCTCCCCATTTTCACCATCCAATGCAGAGTGTGGTCTGGATAACATGATCCAGTTGTTTACCTGCATTTGTACTCTATTTCAATTTGCAAAACATGTGAATCCAGCCCTGCCCAAACAAGTCACTTGGTTTGCTTTTCTTTTTTTAGCCCTGGGAAAGTAGTCGTTGTTTAAAATATATAAATGCTTCAGTGCTACTGATCAGTTGGGTTTTAATAGGCTCTATGTGACGTGGATTTACAGATACAGTTGGACTCTTTTGTGTGGACACTAATCAGCTTTATGGGCTGGGTCCTAATCCACTGGACTTGACCTGTAATTTGCAGCTATTTGAGCTAAGTTTAAACATTGAGACCTGAAAAGTGCCTCTGAAATTGCAGTTTTCTGCAAGTGGGTAATGGTGCATCTAATTTTGTGTCCACTTCTGGAAAAGAAGTTCTGGAAAAGTGATAGTAAAACTCAGAATTAGTACCCCAGTTTCACAAACATGCACACAAGCACAAAAATTTATAACAAGAGAAGTGATTTGGTTACTCTGATGTTATGGCTTGTAATCTTGTTTGGTAAAAGAATGGAATTATGAAGTTCTATTGAAAAAATGAACATGCCCACTTCAAAGTTACTTGAAATATGTGTCAGGAAGAAAATGCTTTCCTTTTAGTTTTTGTTTGTTTGGTGACTTAGTGTATGAGATTATTGTTTTCTTGGTTTAAAAATGGCTATGATAAATATTTGCATTACTCCTCCTAAAACAGAAAGCCCCTTGACGCTTTTTTTTCTTTGCTAAATCCAGTGACCTCCCCTGTTGCACTGAGAGTACCAAATCTTTCATCTGTTATGAGAATGACTTGATGTAGGACTGAGCCCACTTGCAGAAGGAGCCTTTAAGGAAGAGATTTAATGATTTTGTAGCCACCTTTGTGGAAAAAAAAATCTATCTTGTACTGTTCCTGTCAGTGCATTACATTTGTTAAAGTGTAGTTAATCAGTCATTTTGTTGCTTAGTTTCCTTTTTTGTTTGTTTTGGGTTGTTGGTTTTTTTCCCCCCAATAGTTCTCCATGCAGTTAAAAGTGCAAAGCAACATAGTTTTGTGCAAAGCCTTCCCTGCTTTTCAGTGCATTTGCCAGGTACTGATCTTCATAGTGGTCTGTGGGGTGCTCTTCTGCTAACCATATACTGCTTTGGTTTTTTAAAAGGTTCCTTCTCTCACAAATTTTGGTGTACTAAGACCTTTTATCTTTCCTGCCATAAAGGTAGCATGATTTTGGTAGACTGCGTTGAAATTTTCTACTTCACAGCTCTTTTAAGAGTTTAAGTAAGTTTTATCTTTTTATTCTCACATTGTTCATTGCAGTAGCAAATTTTAGCAATAATAAAATTATTTGATAGTTTACCAAAGACAAAATTTTGCTGTGTCACCCAAACCTGGTGAATCTTTGCAATTGCACTTCCAGAGCTCCTCTAGTGCCTGTTTGGTGCAGTGCCTTGAGAAGTGATAGCTTCTCAAGGTGATGCATACAAATCCTTGACCTGGAGTTGCTCTTAATTCCTTTAAATTCTTGGTTGCCAAAGATCTTTCAAACAATAACTTTTCTTACATTGCCTTGTACTCTTGTGATTTTCTTATAGCCTCATTTTATTTCAGCTGACCTCTGTTTCTGATAATTACACAACAGTATTGGTTGAGCATTTAGACATAATATTGTTTTTTGCTATTACATTTCTGTTTGGGGATTTTTTTTGTGTGTCCACCTTGCATGATAGCGTTTATACTTCATTCATTTAGTAGCTTTGGGGATATACTTTCTGGTTTTATTCTGATGGATTTTCTGAGTTCATGTGGCCATTTAGGGCTTAGTAGTTGCCCACAGCAATAATCAGCACTTTACTTATTTATCCCTTTATATATTTATATACTTCCTGTTTTTCAGCATTGCTCGTATCTTCTGGTTAACTATACCCAAGCATTTTTAAAAATTGCTATGCTGATTCTCTTTATTTGAATTCCTTTTTTTTTCCCCCTCCCCTTTTAACTTCAGGCATTTCAAACATGTACCCTTTTGCCTTTATCCTCTTTCTCCCATCTTCCACTTCTGCCTTCTTATTTATAGAGATGAGTTACATGCTCTCTCCATGTACAAAATATAGGAACATCCCTTGAGGGGAGGATACCCCAGCACTACTCAAACAGTAGAATCTGTATTTCTTTCCTTCCTTCAGGACATCTGTATTGACAGGGGTATTGGTTTGGTCAGTAAGGGTACGGAGAGCCAGGAAATTGGAAGAAGTCAGGTTCCCAACCACACTGTGTCAGCAGAGTGAAAAGAAAGCCATGTTGGCTCTTACCTGTTGCCAACAGCAAACATTAGGCAAAAATAACCAAGATAGCAGCATATGGCACCCTGCTTCTCAGGGTTTCTCTACATGGATGTTTCTGGTATACTCTTCTCTGCCCTTTTGAGATATTTAAAATCATCTTCACTGCAGATACTCACTGAGTAAACTCTTAATCCATGACGGCAGAGGGGATGAGCAACCAGGAGGGTACTGTATTGTGCCATGTGGGCTGGTCGCCTGTCATGGTTTTCCTGTGGGAAGCAGCAGCATCAGCATCTCCCCCCGCCCCAGGAGTTAGGAGGGACAGCATCGTCCAGCTTTCAGGTGACAAGCTAGCTCTGGAAACAAAAATGTAAGGCCTTGTGCTGGTGGCCTTCATAAGGATGAGCCCACCATGCTCACACCACAGCTGAGCCCTACCACCTTCCCTGAACAGTGGTCTCCGTGTCACCCAAAGTCAGAGTTAACCTTCCTCAGTGTGTGTATCACAGTGAGCTGGAAGTATTATCCTGGTCCATTCCATAGTGGTTTTTTAACAGGCCTTTCTACCATTCATTTTATAAAGAGAGTGTCTTCCATTTCTGGGTAATTAGTCCAAAACAAACACTCTGCACTGTGGATTTGATTGTGCTCACACAGAAGGCTGGGGGCACACACTTACCCACCCAGGCTGGTCCCTAGTCCTCATACCTAAAAGGAATGCCTTGCTTCTGTTTCTTTTGGGGATCTAGTTGGCGTTTGTTTGGTTATTTTTAAATAGTCCAGCTACACCATTGTGAGAAGGAAATGGTGAGACCAGGCCACAGGGTGTTGGAGGGGAAGCAGGGAAACCTATTTCCAGAACGCTTTATACAGATGAATTGTGGCTCCCTTAACACAAACAGAATTTCCATCCATTCAGCATCAAGTTCATAAGCACAGTTGCTGTTTGAGGAGTATGTAATTAATTCCAAACATTTTGAATTTCCTACATCCCAGCCTGGGAGACCCCCCCATACCAGGACAAGTAACAACCAAGGGGGCCATGTTGTTAGGTCTCACCTGGAGTACAAGCCACCTGAAAAGTCTTTTTTTTGACAGATAGGCTCCTGAAGCTTAATCCTGATGATCACACAGCACTGTGTAATCCTGTGTGTGGGTTGCAGCCAAAGATCACCAAGATGTGCCTGGTGCAGAAAGCCAGGGATGTGTGATGGAGGCCTTGCGTCAGGGTGCACAGGACATGAAGCTTGCTCAGCTCATAGCCTGTGTGGGCAGTTCCTGAGTAAGAACAGGGAGGACTTGCATCCTTGGTCTTTCCTGACAACCCCTCTCCTTCAGCACTGATGTGCACTGAACCCCCCTAGGGTGTAGGCTTCTGGAGTTATTCTGTCCTGGGAGGTACCACCTGTCTCCGATTTGTGCCCAAGACTTTTCTCCCTCACTCCACCCCACTAGCAGTCTGTGCTTAAAAAGCACAACCAAAAGGATATAGTACTCATTTCTTCTAGGACTGTTTGGAGATTTAACCGCTTGTATTTTAGGACTTGGTCCAATCTGTGGAGTTTTTACTCTCCTAATATCACATTTTATTTAGATGAATCAGTTGATCAGCCTGTATATCTGTTAACTGAGAGTTTCAGCAAACTCTTACACTTTTGCAGGCCAACAAGAGCACGTATCTTTATTTTGTCCTTTTTGACAGGTACATCTGTTGTCATCTGATTAACAGGGGAAAAATTCTAAAACAAGTGTTTTCTCAATTATTTTTTCAATTGTTTTTACATCTCTGAGTGACTCATCAGAACATAATATAGCAAAACTTGCCAGATGTAAACAGATGAAACAGGAGAGCAGCACTCCACCCAGATATTTAGACAGTATTTTCAGCTTCCGTCACTCAGTGTCTTTGCTTTCTTGCATCCAGCCTCCTTGTTATTAATGGCCATCATGACTCTCAATAGTGCTGTCTACATATGTCTCCAAACATTTGCTTTAGCTGCTGACAAACAGTACTCAGGCTAGAAGAGCAGTAAAATGTCAGTGCTGCTTGGAATAAGAAATTCCTAGGATGCTGTGCATGCTGGCGGCTGGGTACTGTTCCCTTACAAATTCACTGCTAATTTTGACAGCAGCAGAAGTGGAGCCTTTTGTCCATCTCCTGCCAGTGATACAGGGGTCAGTGTAAGCATGGAAAGTACACACAGACATTCCTGAGAGAGATGCCTCCCAGAAAGGATTTCTCCTAGAAGATTTTATCAGTAAACTAGCTCCATTTTGCCTTGATTCCAGTAAACCCTACAGGTGACCTAAGAGACCTGCTCAGAAATAATAATCACTTGGTACAAGATTTGTTGAGCAACTGAGAATCATCCCTTTTGCTGATGTTTCTGCATGGAATGCAAATACGTGACAGATTCATCTGTGGGGCCTTAGCAGAACTGCTTTTGTGTGCCGGAGTTCCGGAGAAAAAGTGTTTCTGGTAACTCTGTGACATATGCAAATCCAGTAGATGTTTGATTTTTTTTCTTTAGTTCAAAATTTTTGAAAATGTCTTCCATGCTTACTTTCCAGCCATGCTCAGTAAATTTAGAGGTATTTTTTATTGTTTGCACTTGCTATTCAGTAATTCAACCTATCGTGATGTCAGTATGCCTTGGCACAGCCGAATGACAGAGCTGAATAGATGAAGTTTCTTTTTTATTATAGTTTATCAGAAGTGTGTTTTTTTTCCAAGCCTTTCCAGCACCCCACTGTGATTTAAAAAAACTTCAAAAATTTTTCTTATGCTCTCTAGCCATACAAAAGTAGGGTTTTTCTGAGCAACACTGTGTCATATTTTGTACTAAAGTCAACTAAGGGACTGAAAAGCTTCTTACTTTTTTTAAAAAAACACCTTTTTTAAAAAAAATCCTTTTTTAAAAGAAACTGTTTAAAAAAAAAAACCAACAAAGACCTACCCACAGAAAAAGTCTTAAGTTATTGGGAAGGCCTTACATCACTCCTTTAAGGCCAGTGAGGTCTGACTAGCTGGAGAAGGGAGTTTCAGCCACAGAACTGATGCTGACAACACTCTGTCTCAGGTCTTCCAGAATCAGTGCAGGGTGTTGATGAACCTTCAGGTGGAAGGAGTTGTGCTGTTCCCATTATGGATCAAAGTTTTTGTTTTCCTTATTTTCTTACTTCCATCTCTCTATATATAGATCCAAATTAATTAGTTTCAGTTAGCATAATAGAGTTATGTAGTTTGGCTAGCTGGGGAGGTTGACTTAAAGACCCCTCCCCATTTAAATATCTCTTTTAAAGGATATTATTCTCTGAGCTGTCTCCCACACTGTTCCTATCATTTAAATAGAGTCAGTACAAGCACCTCAGTAGATCTTGGTCACAGGGTTTTAGCAGCTTAAAACCATCACTTAAGCTGTACTTAAGGAAAAAAACCTGAAATGCTAAGGAGACTATCCAAAGTTGCTGTGTCATATGCTGCTCACTTTATTAGCACTGAAGGCCTCATTAGGGTCTAGAGGATAGACCTCACTGGTTCTTAATAGACTGTTATGGTTTGTCAGATGGTAACCACAATTTTTGCCAGCTGAAACTTAAGAGAAGTCTTCAAAACTATAGTTGGATATGGTGGCATGAGGCCAGGCAAGCTAACCATATGAGTCAACATCCTGGATATCATCATTTGATTAGCAAAGAAAAGGATTTCTGATCACTGAAACTTAGGTGATCTGGCTGGGAGTTTTTCTGTAACATGCTGCTTTTTATTAGAAAATGCTGATTTTTCGCCACAAAAAGATTTCTTAGGAACATACCAGTTCCAATGAAAATTTTGTTAAGAAACTTGCTTAAGCTGCTTCTCTGGTAAGAGAAATAACACACTTCTCCAAAATAGTAAATTGTCTCCATTGCCAGTAAACACTAAACAGTAGAATGAATAAAAAATCAAGTTTCTGTGTGCTGCTCCTCTGTGTTACCAAACTGATTGCCCAGTCTGCCAGGTTGTTTCACATTTTTACATAGTGCTTTCTGCAAAACTTCTTTTTAAGCTGCCCACTCTCCTAGTTGAATTAGTGATCATTTTTTGTTGGATTTACGGAGAGTAACTAACTTAGCAGCACTGGCACTCACTTGGTACACGTACAGCAGCCCAAAGTTTGAGGCCCTGCTCTAAGGAACATTTCTTCATACAAATAAAACATCTCCAACAGCGGGGATCCCCAGCCTACAACAGTAAATAGGCAGTTGGTACTTTCACCTTGATTGTGAGACCAGACCCTCAAACCTACACTCTTACATCTGAGTTCAGCACCTTTCTCACCTGTCAATGGGTTGCTAAATACTTTGCATGGCTACAACTCTTCTTTTTTATTTTTAAATGTCTCTGAAATGTCATAAGGGCTAGCATTCACTCTAATGGACATGACATTACTTGTCCAACAAGGAAATTTTTGAGATCGAACACTTCTGAAGAGTGGTAGACGAAACATGCTCCCCCCTACACAGGTTATGCACACACACACACAGTTTGGTGGGAACTTGAGGCTGTAGCCAGTTTGCAGAGGGCACAACCAATTCTCTTAATTTCAACAAATGAGCAAAAAGTTGCTGGTTTTGCCAATTCTTTAACATAATTACCACTGCCAGGCAGCATCACTTCCATCTGTATTTAGTCTGAAAATCAGCCAGTTGGTTTTCATCCAGTTCCCTATCTCTGCCAGACATTGAGAAATCAGGAAAGTGGTTCATGTCCTTTGAGAAGAAGGCCTACAGTAAAGCAGCCTAGAGTAGAGGCTCAGTGTCCTTTCACTGCTCCTTAGGCAGGTTGAGCAAGAGCAGTTAAAAACTTGGCATCCCACACCTGAGAGTTTTCAAAGAGGAGCAATACCTACCTCAAAAGACCAGCTTTTACATAACAAAGTCAGGGAGAGTGTCATTTTAATGATAATCTTTTAATGAAGCAGTGCTGAGATCTCATCTCCTGCTGATCTTGTCCCAGTTGATCCCTAGTGCTGCAGGATTGATGGCATCAACATGCTCTTGGGCATCACTGGGCTACATAATGCTGTCCTATTCCAATTTGAAGCACAAGTGGCTGTGAGCCAAAACCAGAGAAATATTTCATGTTTAGGATTTCTTTTGGCTCAGTGGCTTTTCTCAGGAAATTTTGTTGAAGAACAGGTAATTGGGGATACTCAAGGTGTAACAAAGTACTCAGACAGCCAAAAGGGGAGATGTGTTACATATGTGTGTTTCAAGTTTGTGATCTTATGTGTTCATTGGGAAGATAAATCAGAACAGTAAAAAATTTTAATGCTAATACTCTCATTGTTCTATAGGCACACTCTGTTGGGTACAGGAGAGATGGGTCTAACTCTGGACTCCTGAAACTGGCAATCCCCATGTTTCCTGATACCCATGTGATGATCTTTCTTGCCCTAAAATAAATGCAGATGGTTTTAGATGTCATTCTACTCACAGGTCATCTCCAGAGTTGCTTGATATGTGAGGCTTTGCTTCCTAGTTTAGTTTTGTCTGGCCACCAAAGTTAGTTCATATCTTAACATTTCCTACTTCTAAAGAGTATTAATGTTTCTCAGCAAATCGGAACAACAGGCCCTTGTTTCTTTAGTATGATAGGCTAGTAGTGCCCTTATTCAAGATTCATGAAATATACCATTCTTTTCAATGCCTTACTTTAATCTTAATGGTAATGCAAGCCTAGATAATTTGAAAGTGTCATCAAAGATACAGTCAGACTCTAAATCCCAAGAGGAATTTTGGCCTTCAATCTTTTAAATGTTTGTTGCAAAAGAGCGGGATTTTATATAAGGCTTTTTTTGTTTGTTCCTTTTTCATACTAGAAAAATATTGCTTTTAATCTCTGATGCTTTGTTTACTCCTGATACAGACACGTCTGAAGTTGGAACCTTGTATAAGTTGCACCCACTTTTACCAGGATGAATGGAGTCAATAGTTATCTTTTCATTCCATTTGAGCACAAATCAGTTCTAGTTGGTAGTCTAGCCTAGTGGTTTTGGTTCTACCAATCTCAGATAGATCTAGATTTGAAACTTAATGATGAGAATTTCAGTGTTAGCTGTGGGATGATTCACTGTAGAGCATTTTTCCATTTTGTAAAATATTTGAGCATTTTACTTTGAGACCTGAAGTATATGCTGGTTTTGATCACCACAGTTATATTGATGTGGGGTGGGATTATGCTCTTTTTGTTAATTGAGAGAAACCTATCTTTTCACAGAATCACAGTGATTCTGTAATTGAGAGAAACCTATATTTTCCTGTATTTCTGTATGTCTGTATATATTTTTGTACTGTTACAAAGGACCTTTATACTGATATACCACTATTAAACTGGTTTAATCTTACCAGTATGTTAAAGCAGTATAGTTCTTGTGTATATTTAAAACCATATCCTGGATGTCTTAGTCTGAGCAGTGGATGCACTTACAGGCTCCCTGTACAGATAGATGCATACCCTCCTGTCCTGTAATGAGACCCATGTGCGTGCCTGTACCCCTTGACTCTGATGCCCTGCAGCATTTGTGAGGAAGAAACCTGGTGAAGAGGTCTAAAACATGAGCAAGCTGTGGCACAGTCCAACTAGGCTACCCAGTCTTGGGATTACGTTACTGGAGCCTCTGATGGCCCTCTGCACCATCTAGATGACTTCTAGTTGCTTTCAGTGGAGGTTAAGAAGTTAATTAGATTTGCTCCCAAGTGATTTTTGAAGATTCTGTGTGGGGTATCTTTTGTGATCCAACTGGAAACAGGATTCAGATACCATGGGCTACAATTAACTGGCACATCTCCACTATTATTTTATGGTTTGAATGTTGTTGTTATTATTATACAGTCCAGTAACTCATTGGAATTATTATATATTTAAAGGGCCTTCAGATTGTTTTTCTTTGTAATAACTTAATTCTTTTTGTACTAAATAAATATCAGATGTTCAGTAAATCTTAATTTTTTGTTGCTGTTGTTGCAGAATTTATTCCCCAGGCTTTTGGAATGCCCTTGTCCCAAGTGATTGCTAATGATCGGGCCTACAAGCTCAAGCAAGACTCTCAGAGAGAAGAGCAAAAAGATGTTTCAGATTTTGTGGCCTTTCTCTTGCCATTTGGAACTAAAAGGCAGAACAAAGAACTTTCAAGCAGTAACTCATCTCTTAGCTCAACCTCAGAAACACCGAACGAATCCACTTCTCCTAACACACCTGAGCCAGCGCCACGAGCAAGGAGGCGTGTAAGTAGACCCATCACAATATGGTGCACGTCAGTAGGTCTGGAGTAGGAAAAACCCCTGTTGTGTCTATGGATTGTGGAATATTTCTTCTGTCATGCTCAAACAGTGTTTTGTTTTTGTTTTTTCTTTTTTTTTTTTTTCAAGTGGAAGCAGGCCTGGTCAATACCAGAATATTCTAACTGAAGTGGAAATCTTTCTCTGGTGCTAGTCGAAAAAGATCATATGGACTGTGCAAGTCTGTTACAGATTGCAAAGTGGCAGAGATATTATGTAGAAGTCTTCCTGTTCACTCCCTTTATCTACCTCCTCCTGTCTAGGTCTTTTAGGCTTAACAAATTCCATCTGTCTTCAAATTAATTTTTTCAGCTGGGGAAGACTAAACCTATGTGATTTATATTTGTATGTATGCTTATATTAATCTAGCTCCACAGACTTGGATATAAAACTAACTATCAATCCCTATCCTAATATTAACAGAAATCCACATGGTCTAATTCTGATCATGTCCTCAGTGGTAAGGAAGAAGTTGTCAGAGTAAATTTGTACCAGGCTTTTTGAAGGACATTTCTGCATGCAGGCTAAGATGTCTTTGGCAGCAGAACATGGTGCAGTGGTATGGGTTGAATGTTAGTCCTGCATGTAAGATGGGTACCTGCTAGACCATTTGTTTACAGGATTCTGATCCTTGTAAGTAAATTTTAATGCTCTGAGCTTTTCAATTTTCCAGTACTGCGGCTAGTAAGAATAGTAGATTTTAAATTTTTTTGGTACCATGGGATAGAGGTTCTAGAATTACTACCTTTTAATTTCATTTGCAATGGAGAGAGAAAAAGAATGCATAACATATTTTTAATAAAATCCTCTGTTCAGTAATCTGAGAGAGAATTTGGCTTATAAGAACAGATCCTGGAAAATAAAATATTTTCTTAGGATCCTTACCTTCTTTCATCCCTAGCATAAAACCTGCTTTGGAGAAATGCTATGTAGTGGTCTTCAAGCCATGGTGTTAAGAGGGGTAGAACTGAGGTAACTTGTAAATTAAGAGAAAGTTAGAGTCCCATGACTTGCCTGCCTTCTCTCTAGCTGTCAGCTGAAGCTTGAAGTCTACATTCTGTCTGCTAATAGCTGAGGGCATGGTATTTTAGGATGTTTGCATTTTTATATATGCATAATGCACATCTATTGGCCTGTTTATGCCATATGAACATGCAGTTGTGTTCACACAGAAGTGCAAAGTACGCTTGAATATAAGTGTGAAGGGAGACCCGCCAACTTCTTTCAGAATTTGACATAGGCAGTGTCAAAAAATAGAAATACACTATATACACCCATTGGCTTCAGAACCTGTTTGCATATGAGGGAAAGATAATTCATGTGTCCAGATATAGATCATCTGCTGTTCTTTTCACCAAGTGTGATAAGATCTCTGACGTGCATTTGACCAGCCAGCATGCAAAAGGAACCTGGATCTTTTGTTACATCCGCAGGATACAGCTCCATCAGGACCAAGTTCCTAGAAGCCTGTCTCACTTGTTTGCTTTGGGGCTTTTTGTTAATAACAGAATTGCAGCTTTCAGGGTGTTGAAATTGATCCTTTAGACTGTAGTTATGAGGATGCAGTAGCACATGGTTCACCTACAGACAACTAAGAGTAGACTAAGGTGGGCAGTGGCATGTGGAGGGAGCTGGCATTTTCTCTCAGGAATGCACCTCAGTTATTCAATAATGTACGTCATGAATTGTCATTTATTTAACATTAATATGAACTCATGTACCATATCTTGTCTGTCTTTGGCCTTTATACTCCTGTTTATCAGTGTACTTAGCACTGTTTATTTTCAACTATATCAATGCAAATGCTTAAAAAAAAGTAATAAAAAAGATTCATTAGTACATAAACCTGATACAACCAGTTTCTCACACAAATGCTACACAGACAGCTGGAGTGCAGTCCTCTTAAACTTAAATTGGAGGATTTTTTAATGGTTGTACCATTCACTTCCTTGCAACTGTGTAATTCACTTTTGTGTATTCCAGTGAACCTTTAAAGGCTCAGCTGAGGCTTTCAGTAGGGGATATAAGGTAATGGTAGCTGCAGAACTTACGATATGAGTGCTCTGGTTCTCTCCTCGCCAAAAGCTAGACAGATATCACTGTTGATGCATTTTTTATGTAGAATTTTTGCCCAGCAGTTGGAGGTTGAGACCCTGGTCATCCACCAAGGCACTTTTTGTGTGCTTATTATAAACAATATTCTGCCTTTCTGTTAAAATATTATTTATGTATATTTTATACAGCCAAAATTTATTAAAGTATCAGAAGCTAAATCATATTGCTTTACAGCTCAAAAAGCATAATGTATGGCATGAAAATGGATCTGCCATGGGTAGTACTTGATCCCATGCTTACTCTGTGATATTGCTTATCTTTTCAAGAAGAGAAAAGCCTTCTATAACCCTCAAACAGTGAAGAAAAGCTTCATTTGACCTTCATTCCACACCTGTCCCTCTGACCTTTTTTTTTCTCTTTCCATCTCCTCTTTAATCTCCATGTTCCTTCATCATTCTGTGTGCTTAGCTGAAGACTTGCCCAGTTTATTTAGATTTTGAGCTTGTCATGGTGGAGCAGGGACTGGTAGCTGTTATGTGCACTGGTAATGCCTAGTAGATGGAACTTGATTTTTCCTTGGTTGCTGGGCATTTCAGTCCAAGTAGCACTGTCTGTGTCAACAGTCCTGGAGTAGTGGGCAGCAATGTGCGTGGTCTCCTACATCATTCCTCAACAGTCATTTAGGTCTGGCTGAGCCCACATAATAGATCTGTTGAAGTCTGAGCTGGATCCGTGGAGTATGTTGGTAATGTTTTCCTGTGCACTTTGAAATTTAAAAATCAGAGCTGGCCTGGACTTGATATTACCAAGCAGTGCTGTACTTCAGCCACCAAACTCAAGGTCACTCTTCCTAAAGCCAGCTCAGTGCGCCAGTTAATCCACAACTTTGATAAAATGCCCAAGGATAATGGCCAACTGTACTGACTGTATTTACATCTATTTTAGGGATCTGAATCCGACTTAAGTGACTCTGTGATAATAATGATTCATGAGGTGAGGATGCTTTGCAGACCAGGAAGGACCAGAAAAGGCAGGGTGTAAAGGGGGGCACCTGTCATACAGGAGCTGCCTGGGAGCTGCAGCAGTGAGGATGGTGTTAGGATTTTCAGTGTCAGTTGATTAATTTTAATGTCTGAACCCCCAAACTCTTAAAAACAGAATAGAGAAATTGTTCAGTTGGAATTTTACACACATAGGTCATAGCCAGAGATTCTTGTTTGATTTTGGGTTGCTGGGTTTTTTTGTTTCCTTTAGGCAAAGATGGTGAAGGGAATCAAGCAAATGCACTTCTGAGAGAGATCAGAAATCAAGGTCAAAGTTGCATTCTAAAGTGTACAGTAGTATTTTAGAGATATGGGTCCAAAAAAATCTAAAAGCTTCACTGCATTTCTTTTATAAGTCTTTCATGAGTTATAAGAAACGGAAGTACACCTGATAAGTTAGGTGCTTTTTTAAAAGAGATATTATGAACTAAAATCTCAGTGGACTTTGTATGAGTTGCCTCTGAGTTGGATGTCTTTGTAAAGTTCATTCGTCTGGGCTGATGGAAGCAAGTACTTCCAGAGCTTGAAATTCTCTAGCAGTACTACAGTTCTCATTTAATAGTCATAGAGATGTCACCGGCAGTCTATAAAGTAGCTGTCAGCGTAGCAGCGAGCTTTGAAGAAATCAGAGTTGTCAGCAAAGTTTTGAGTGGGAAGTTAAATTTTCTTCATTATTTCTTAGGATGACATGCTGGATCCTTGTACAATATATTTTATATTATGGTAAAAGGTATCCTTTGTTTCTAAAAGAAAGAAAATAATTTCAATAGATACTTTTAATCAGAATTAAACCTGAAATAGTTCTTTTTGTTTTATTATTATTTATAAGACTGTATGCCTCCTAAATTTTTTTTTGTCTGGTAATTTTAATAAAAGTTGAGGGAAATGGTCATTTTGAAGTGACAGTAATATTGTAGTTTGAAAAAAAACCAACTTATTTTTCAAATGTGAACACTGAAATGTGCCATAAACCTCCTACTGCTTGTGCTGCTTTATCCTTTACAGACTACTTGAACTTCTGTGCCTTGCTGTAATCCGAACATAGTTTATAAAGCCTTAATTGGAATTTTAATGATTTTAAAATATTAAGATACATACAGTAGCATTGTCTAAAATATATTACCCCTCAACATCTCTGGTGTGTCTTTGTTCTGTGATAACATGGGCTTACTTTGATCGCTGCAGTTGTATGTATTTGTGTTATTAGTTAACTGTATGTGATGTATGGTTGTAAATCTATTTACATCACTTTCACTGATACAATGGCCCAAGCTGTGGAAGAAGTAGGGAATCAGGTTTAAAAACGTACATATATCTCCGTGCACATAAATGCACCGCACATGCATACATGCACTGCACGTGCATACATGCACCACACTGCTGCGGTGTGCACACAGGCTGTGGTTCATCCTTGTCTTGCAGTACACGCAGGCTTACAACAATAAGAAGATGTGCCGAGTGAGTTGAAAGCATTTAGTTTTTTCAATATCTGATTTGTATTCCTTGTAGTATGATAAAAATAGCATTGGTACCATTGTGATTTTCCCATCCATTACACTGGTATTATAACTTCATTACAGAAACTGTGTAGCAAATAGTATTTTTATATTCATTTGTTTAAAATGCAGGTAGACAAAAATCTTTGTTAGATAAGGTCCTGTGGCATTTAGATGTCCCCAGCCGAACTGATTGTTCCTCTGTGTGTATTTTACAGGGTGCGATGTCTGTGGACTCTATTACAGATCTTGATGACAATCAGTCGCGATTGTTAGAGGCTCTCCAGCTCTCCTTGCCAGCAGAAGCCCAGAACAAGAAAGAAAAGGCGAGAGATAAGAAACTAAGCCTGAACCCTATTTACAGACAGGTTCCCCGGCTTGTAGATAGTTGCTGCCAGCACTTGGAAAAGCATGGTAAGAATATTTTGTTTTCCCAGGAATGGCAGATATATTTTTACTATAATATAAATAAATGCTTATTTTGAGAAGCAAGCATATACTTTCAATTGCAAGGACATCTTTGAAAGTCAGACACTTTCCCTCCTGTTTTGCCTCTTGCTAAAGATACTGTCTCAGAAATGATTACTTAGATGATACTTTCCCAAACTAGGGATCTGTGCTGCAAGCTTGCAAACTCAGCTCAGCAGGAGTAGCTTTTCACACCCCTCACGTTTACAATACCTTGAGAATGAAAGACTGAAATGTGCCAGTCAGCCTGGAGTCATTCTTAGCAACCAGTGGATCTTAAGGTGTAAAAGCTAAATATACTGTTTATACTACAGTGCAAGACTTACCTAAATACAGTATTTGAAGACAGGGTTTCAGAGAAAGGAAAAAAAAATCCCATGCTAAATTATATTAAGCTCCAAGAAGCTTTTTTCCTGTTCACTACAAAGCTTGCAGGCTGGCTGCTCACTTTGTTCCTGGCTTGAGGAGTCCTGACCAGCCTCGGGCTCAGGCCTGCTCTCTCCAAAGGGAATTATAAACTCCTGCCAATGTTCTTCTCATGTCTTCATGATCATCCAGACACAAACCTCCCACCAGCATTATGTAATGCAGAAACAATAGTTAATCAAGGTATCTGTTCAACATCTCTCACAATGTATCTTTGCGTTGTACAGATTTTTAATGAGAATTGAAGCCATTTGACCACAGCAAAATAGAGATATCGCATGGCCAGATAATAAACCATTAAGAAATGGTGACTGCAACTCCAAATGACACATTTGATGCCTAATTTGACCAGAAATAAATCATTTACTGACTCTTAATGAAGGGCTTTTGCAGATGAAGAACTGCAATTTAAGAACAATGCTGAGCTGTTGCAATACATAATTGAAAACCATGTTGCTTGCAAATATATAAAGGAAAACTGCAAAAGAGAGTAATTGTTAGTCTTTTACAGATATTAGATACCATGGCTGACAAATAAGTGTGGAAATGATTAAGGTTGAGCTGAATGACTTCCATGCCTTTAAACAAGGGTATCTGAGTTTGGTGAACATAAAAGTGTCATGAGTCAGCCAAAAAAGCCACCCAGCTGAGTATTCTTTGAATACTGTGATTTATGTCACTTGAGTATCTGTGATAAATTTTTTAATCCACTTAACCCATTGTCATAAAAAAGATTATTTTCTATACAGCATTCTTTACTAAACTTCTTGCTTTACATTAAAGTTTACTTTTAAAGAAAATTTTTGGGTTTTTTTTGTTTGCATTTTATAAGAGTGCACTGTAGTACTCCACAGCACAATAATCTGAGATAATTTGGGGCAAATATTGATGTTCTTCAATTTTCAGTTTAATCTGCCATCCGCAAAGGAGTCATTGGGATTTGTTGACTTTGAGAGATTTAAAGATTGCGGAAGATGGACGCTACTGTTTGCTCGTTGGCATTAGGGATAATAGAGGACTTTCTATTCTAGCAACAATCCTGTAGCAAGATCATTCCAGGCTATATGATGGACCAAGATTTTGATTCTGAAAATATTTACCTGTATGTGTAGGTTCATTTAAGCCAATTTTTCAGCAGCAAATCACCTAGGTGTTTCTCACGAAAGCTTTAAATTATAAATTTGAACATTATATAACAAAAATGGTTATGTTTTTAGCCCTAAAAGCCCCTGGCCTTGTTCACCTTCCTTGTTTTCACTGGGATCATGTCACAGAGCTGTAAAGGCTTGACTTCCTGCAGACCTGCAGTGTAAAACAAATACTGTGTGTTTGTGCAAGAACTGGTAACCAGCCTTCAGTTTTTCCCCAATATGAGTATCTCCATTTCAGATGATTCCCTACCAATGTTCCTGGGTTTACTAAACATTAGTTGATCAATTTAATTTTTCTGTTAACCAAAGACAGAAGAATATTTGGAGAGGTGTCATGTTGAGACTAAGAAGTGAAAGGCAGAATCCTGTCTGAATTTCTCTGATGAAAATGTGCAACTCCAAACACCACTCCAAAGCTACACATCTCTTGCAAGCAAATGTAGCCTTCTGGCTGTCCAGAGACATTTGTTTTGCAAGGTTATTTTATATCGCCTGTATGTCAGTAGAGAAAATGAATGTTGCAGAGTAGCCTTTGCTAGACCATAAACTTTTAAAAGCTTATAGATAATTTCATTCTCTTTGCAAAAAATGTCTAACTGTGTAACAATGCTATGTACACAGCTGCTCAAGATCTCTCTAAGATTTCCACTCATTCTCATTGCTAAAGACTGTGTCACCTTTAAATAATGTGTCACATTTACTCTCAAATTTTCCAGTTTCTGGTTCTCAGCAAAGTATGTCTATTCAAGAACCATGTTATTGTTTGTTTGATTTTATGATATTATCTACAGGGCTAGAAGAAGTTTTAAACTGATTTCTTATGCAATAGCTGGCAACACCCATTCCCAAATCACTTTAAGTCCAAATGACACAAGAGGCATACCTTCTGCATTTTGCCTGAAGTACAACAGTGCTTCTTTATAGCTTTCCTTCTACATAATAGCAATTCCTACCCTATAAACCACACACAACTCACAGGTAGAGTTGTCTCCTCTCTTAATCTGCCTGAGTGCCCAACTTAACATCCCTTGGAAGGAAACTCTCAACTTTGTCTTGACATGCACTATGGAGCCAGTGGGTCACCCAGAACACCGACTGTTTCCTGCATCCAAAGACACAGCTCAGTGCCCAAGTATTTAGTTATTTTATTACCTGTTTCCTTTGATGTCAGTCCTGGAATAGCTACCTCCAGACACTGAGCAGTGTCTCACTCTCTGCATACCTTTGTCCCTCGTAAAGTCATACTGACAGTATCAAAATGGCTTCACAAGAATGTCATGAAGATGCCATTTTGCAGGTTAGGTGATATGAGGTCCTTAAGAGCTGCACTGGATGGCTTCTTAATCCCAGAGGGCTGAGTTTTGCCTCAGCATGGTAAGTACAGGTTTGTAGAGAAGTACATTGTGGTTATTTTCACTCTTTTTAAGTACACAAATAGCCCAGATTGCTTTGGTTCAATGCAATTTTCAGCAGAAAATTAAACAATAAAACAGTTGTCTGATGTGCTACGCTTGCAGGTCTCCAGACAGTAGGAATATTCAGAGTTGGAAGCTCAAAAAAGAGAGTAAGACAGGTGAGTGAATATGGATATACTTTTCTCTCATCAGCTATGATACAAACAAACTTTATTCATTTCTGCTAAGTGATTTCTTCCCCATCCGTCACCTAGTGAAATTCAAGCTTTCTGGGTCAGTGACTTCACTGGTTTTTTGATGGCTCATAACAGGCTGTTGTGAGTCATCTCCTACATTTGGTGAAATCCCTGTCAGGTTCTCAGCAGGTTAACAGTCTCTGTATGTTTTGCTCTGCAGAAGTAGAGCTTGGGGTTAGAGATCCGAATAGACTACAGTGTCTTAACTTTCCAAAGGTTACTCTGTAGAGGAAAAAAAAAAATCTTGGCTGCAATCTCAGAAGCAGCTGAAGCTCCCAAAGTAAACTCAAAACTGTAAATCTTTTTTGGAAAACTTACAGTATGAGAAAATATTCAAGTACAGAACAATCTCTTTAACCCTCAAATTGCTGCTCCCAAATACCACCTTTCTTTAACCCTTGTTAAACTTGAAGGTCAGAGCAGACCCATCCAAGTTCTAGTCTCAGCCAAATGTTGAAAAAGCAAAAATAGTGTACAGTTAGGTTCCAGAGACAAAGTCAGAAGTGGGTGTTTCTTCAGCCCTAGATAACTGCATTGTTATTCTCAGAAGCTGGGAATCCATGTTGAGTTAAAGTGGTAGAAACTCGTGCTTAATAGTTGCATGATGCTTGGGGAGGAGATAAAAAGTTACAGGAAAATACCCTTACCAGGAAATATGAGACCAAAAAGATCAAACAGGGAAAAAAAAAGCAAAAGAAAACTTGACTGCATCTGATCCCAGAAATAATATTTCTTCATTACAAAAACTATACAGCATAATGTTTGTCTTTCTGGAAAGTTACCTTGAGTAGCTAAACTGACTTCATTCTGACTGGTAGGATGGTATAGCCTACTGATTTGTAGCTTATTCTGTAGCAGTTTCTATTGCTGAGTGGTTAGTGTGACACAAGGCTAAAAGTATTCATGGTCTGCAGAAGCAGCTGTTAGATCAACACTGAACTAGATAAAGTATTGAAAAGTAAGTTGCCTGTCGTTTGCCTTACAAGCATTGACATCAAAACTTCTATTATCATTCATGGGTGAGTACAGTTGCATCATACCTCTGGGGAAAAAGCAGAGGGTTTATATCATTTACTGGTAACCTAAGCTTTACTTTTTAAACATCAATGACTTTCAACAGTTTTTCTTTTACTATGTTTTCAAAAGCTGAAGAAATGAAGAGATTTGGGTATTTATGTATTCTATTACATGGGCTAATTTATTGAAATAGGTGAACTAATATATTTCATTAAACAACATGGAAGCATCAGCTTGTCCCTTGCAGTTACAATAATAAATGCTGACAACATGAACACAAGGGGAAGTCTGGATTCAATTAAAATTCCACTCATTTTCTGAACCATGGAAAGCCAAACCCAGTACTCAGATTTTGGTGTGCTTTTGCAACTGTTCATTAGTTTTTCTTGTGTAGAAAGTAGGCATAGTTTTGTTTCCCTTCCTCCCCCAGTTAGAAAACGTCCTATTTCAACTGTAGTTTATTGCAATAAATACATAAGTAAGAAAACGTATGTGCCAGTGGGGTTTTTGGTTGGTGAGCAGGCGAAGACTTAGAACAAGTGCATCTATTGCCAAGCATTGCTGCAGGGCTCAGGGTGGACAGCCCTCTGTGCTAGACCTGGTGACTTGGGACCAGCTCTGCAGGTGAAGCAACCACTGGACCCCGAAGCTGGAGAGCAGCATGGCTGAAGCTCTGCTCTCCCGTCCCCTCTCCCAGCAGGGATGTCCTCAGCTCTCACGTCTTAAGCTCTGGTGGATGCTATAGTTCACCAGATGTGTTTTCCAAAAGTCTGAAAGTATTCCCAGTGAATGAAGTCAGAGACACCTGAAGTTTAAACTTAGTGATACACAGTTTTTAACAGTTGTGATACCTAGGCCTGAAATATGGCCATGTTTCACCAATGATTATCTTTACTGTGCTAATTAGGACATCTCTGTAGACCTCACACAATATCAGATCAGAAGTGCCATATTCAAGACTGTAACAGCAATTTATGATTTGGACAGGTATTTGGAAAGTCCAAATTCCTGATGCAGTGCTAATCTGTTTCCTCAGTTGCTTTTGAGCAGTAAGTGCAGAAGCAGTTTTGCCCCATTTGCCACCAGTCTGAAGAGCAGAATTGAGCTGGGAATGAAATCCCCAAGTTGGCACTGGAAAATCTTTGACCACAAATCAGCAAGGGGAAGCATAATACTAGATAAAGAACAAATTCTGGTCTCCATAGCATATTTTTTCATTATTAGTTGTGACTGATATTAATAATGTTAAAAGTAGTCTTAATAAATTAGAAAGGAGGCTGTAGTTTTTATAGAATACTTTTCGCGCTCGTTATGAAAGCACAATTTCAGCTGAAAATGTTTGTTGGTTTTTTTCCTACATTCCTCCACACTGTGCATCCTCAAGATAGATTTGCCTGTGATCAAGATTTGCCACAGATTATCCCAGGCACATAGTTTGCTTGTGACTTACTTTCTTTCTTCTTTTTGATATGTCTGTAATAATCCTGGTAACGAAAGCTGATACCTCAACTTTTCCCTTGTTTAGTGAGTAGTAATATAATTACTCTCTGAAAAGTTATATGTGAGATTATGGTACTTCATAATATTAGCAAAGATACAAATTTTTCATAGGACATAGTTTTAAAACATCTTGACTGTTATCTTTTTGTAAGGCACATTGAATGTAGGAGAGGGATTTTCTCTGCCTCTGGGAGGTGTGATGCCTTTGAATTATGCAGAATTTGTAGCTGGAAAAAATAGTAGCTGGAAAAAGTACCGTGAAGTCTTAGCAAACCTGACTGCTTACTGCTTATGCTTAAATACAGTCTTAAATCACAAGAGAAATGTGAGTTTGGTTGTTTTTTACATTGTCCTGTTGTTATTATTATTAATTTTTTTTTACTAAAACATAAATATTCTGAAATGCAATTTTAGTGTTTCTTGTTCTGAAATCTAGGGATAATGCTGTAAGGTGGCGTAAGAAAGATTTTCTTGCAGTTTTCTTTATTCTTCCTGGTTTCTGCCTTTTCTGCCTTCACATTTTTTTATAAAAGAGTGCCATATATTAGCTGGAAAGAAAGAACTGTATTTTATTACAGTCCAGTACAAACCTTAAGTTATGTATTGTGGAACAAGCCGCAATTAGACATGGATTATATCTTTAACCCTACTAAAAATAGTCGTGTCCAATCTGAAAAATGAAAATGAGTAAACTTTAAAAGATTTTCTGTGTTGGGATGTACTGATTGGGACAATAAATGACTGTGGGTTTGTGTCACAATCTTTTTCAGTTACGTGAAGAGTTTGACCGGGGCATAGATGTTGTATTAGACGAAGAGCACAGCATTCATGATGTTGCTGCTTTATTAAAGGAATTTCTGCGTGACATGCCTGACCCACTTCTCACCAGAGAACTTTATACACCCTTCATCAACACTCTCTGTGAGCTCTGCAACATCTTGATTAACTGATTTTCAAAAGTTTACCTGTTTGAATTCTTTAATCTCTCCTAACGTATTCTTTATTCCTGTGCATTTAAATACTCCAGCCTTGAATTGATCCAAATGTTTGTATAGTATATATTTGCAGAGGTCTTTTCTTGGTTTTCATACCATGAACGTATAGCCCAGACAACTAGAACAACAAAGTTTTCAGTTATTGTACCTATTTTTTCCATTTGTATGTAGGATGTGATCCACATTATCTATTGAATCCTGACCCTGTCATCAGTTCAGTAGTAGCAGATAACAGACTGCAATTTGAATCCTCAGATCTTAGCACCATTAGTGCTTTTAATTTTTAGAGCTGTTCACTGATAAAAATTGCAGTCTGGCTTCAAAAAACTAGTTTAAAAAGTTCAGATTTCATCATAGTTAAGGGTCCTCAAAGCCATCATATTAAGTGCTCTTAAATGTGTTGCCCAAGATCTGAGTGCAGACTCTCACAGATTTAGGAAAAAGTAAAGCCGAAGCCTTCAAGCTTAAGCTGCTGCCTGGGATGTGTTCTTCAGATTCTTTCTAGTCTTCATTTCTGAGATCCTGCCTCTGTCCCACCTTTGTCACTGACTACCATTGCATTTTAGATGGTTAAAGTGATGGTAGTTGCAGAATGTCCTGTATATCTCTAGTTGCTTTTGCAGTCTCCCAGTGCCTCTGCAAGAGATGACATTGTAAGACAATACATTTAAAATGGCTAAAGCATAGACCTGTCTGGAATGCTTCCCAGCAGTGCCCTGGATATGCCAGTAGCTATACGTAAAATAAATGGAGTATGTAGAAAATAAAGCAGAATTTTTGTGATGAAGTGTGCAATGTGGAATTTTGCTCCCTTATGGTCTAAGAAAACATCTCATGAACCTGTGAACAAAACATTGACCAACCAAGGCAAAATTCTCGTAACAATGTTTGTTACACTTCTGATGTTTCTTAGAGGTTTTTTTCTTTTTCTTCTGACATTATAAGGAAAATGATCCTTAAATAAAGCTATTCTTAATGCTTTCTTTTGGGCTGTAAACAGTATATTTGTCCTGCTTTTAGGTTAGTTGGAGTGCTTTTCTTAGAATGTATTTTTTCCCCCCTCTTAGTATTAGAGCCAGATGAACAGCTAAGCACCTTACAGCTTCTCATTTATCTTCTACCTCCCTGTAACTGCGATACCCTGCACCGGCTGCTGCAGTTCCTCTCCATAGTGGCTGGCCACGCAGAAGACACCACAGACAAAGACGGCCAAGAGGTAAGTCCCCGTCACTTGTGTCCTTTGACTTCACTTAATTTATGGTCTGAAGAGATCTTTAAAGCTGTCAAGCAAACAATGGTATACCCCTGAAAGATGAAAGACATTTCATATTCTTACCTGTGCCATTGGCATTTAGTTTTTTACTATGTTCTTAGGGATGTGACAGTTTAATTTTATATGACTTTATCAGTGAAGAATCTACCACTTCCTTTGGGAGATTCACAGCGTAATTGACCTTGTTAAGAACATCTAATGTTATCCATCCTTTTCCCCCTTTGTTTTATCCTATTGTATTCTATGGAAAAAGTACTCAGGAAAGTGTCAGGCATTCAAGAATATGCTTTTTCATTTTCTTTTAATTCTCTGCTGTTGCTTTCTTATATGACCTTTGGACATGGCAGTTCACTTCTTGATTCCCTTAGCTTCCTTGTATGCACTGGATAGTGAAGAATAAAAAATAAAGGACAGGAATTACACCTGTGCCCTTGCAACTCTTGGAGTGCAATCACTGGTTGTCCATCTTTGCCTGTTTTCCCTTTGGCCTCCTTTCTGTTGCATTGTGGACCAAATACAGTGGAGAGGTTGGAGTTCATCCATCCCACAGAGACCCATAGCCATGTAGGTGAGCTGTACTTCAAAGTATTCACATGTGTGCATCTTAGGCCTTCAGACTACAAAAGATCTGAAAATCCAGGCTTCCCACCTTCTACCAGGAAAATGCTTGGACTAGTGGACTGCTCTGCAGAAGGTGGCACTGTTAACTTTAAATGAGATGGATAGAGTCTGTCACTGCTTGAACAAAAATTGTACTAGTTTATCTGTGGGAAGGACTTCTCTGCCCCTGAACTGCAGCATAGGCTACTTCTGAGCCTTTTCTGAAACTCCTAGAAAATTTTGATTTCCAGATTGGAAAACCCTGCTGCCTTCTGTCAAATTTGGACATCTTTTGCAGTTGGCTGGTTGTAACAATTGGCACTTTGAGTCTGAGTTTTGCCAAATTTCTTCCTTAAGTCCTAACTTCCAGTGTGACTTCGGGGCCTATTTCCCTTTAAAATCCACTATAAATGGTATTTTTTTTTGTCCTCAGCAAGGAGCTGATAAGAAATATACACCACTATGATGGAAAGCACTTAAAAAGAGCAGCCTCTAACAATTTTACTGTGCTTAAAAACATCACATGTATGAGCCACCTAGCATCATGGTCGCCCTGGTCCTGCAAAGAGTTTTCTCTTGGTTTAGAAATGCACTCAAGAGAATCTTACTGCTGGGCTAGAGGATGCTCCATAAAAGAGTTGGTTTGGCCCAACAGCTGTCTTAAAGGCATTTTCATTCCCTGTAACAGCACATCAGCTCTGCTACAGGTATTTTGGCAAGGCAAAATTATGTAAGCTATCTTGACGCACTACTGTAAGCATCAGGAATGTTATCACATAGAATCACAGAATATTAGGAATTGGAAGGGACCTCAAAAGATCATCCAGTCCAACCCCCCTGCCAAAGCAGGATCACCTAGACTAGTTATGTGCAATTGGATACTTTTTACAGGTAATACAGTATTCTGCTCATAATTGTTTAAGCTATTCATGAATAATTAAGAGCATAAAGGCATACAGGGCAAAATAAAGAGTATTTTATCAAACTGCTATCACTGGAAGGAAAACAGTCAAGCTTTGGCACACAGGCCCTCTTCTCAATTCTTTCAAAAGCCCTTTTCTCATGAGGATGAAGATGTATGACTAACTTTATTAAAATTACGCATTCAGTTAATTTCAGTGGATACATTTACAGTGGTTTTTAAGGCATGCCCCAAGGCTCCCCATGAGAAAAGACTCACAGTTTGTACAAACAGCTTGCACTTGCAGATCCAGACACAGCCAGAGGCTGCCCCTGGCACACTCAAGACACCGCATGCCTGTGCCTCCTTGGTGGCTCCGTACTCTGACAGTATTTAAAAAGCAGGTCACCCGAAAAATGGCTGGGTGCACAGTGGTGTGCAAATAAGGGAGAGTGCTGTACTCACAGTCATGCTGGGATGAATCTCTAAACAACGAGCCAATGCATTTGTTATGACTGCCCATACACCTATTTAGTGCCGATGTTTTTCCAAGATTACACAGTGGCCCCACCCATAAAAGGAAAAGCTCTTTTTACTGTCATCTCTATGCTGTCTAGTTGAGCTCTGTAAAATATAAACCAGGTGGAGTTGGTGTGCAGTTGTAAGTTTGACTAAAGTATTCAGTAGATGACCAGCTACCAAAAAAACCCAAAAAATTTAAAATACTACTTAGCAAAAATTTGGTTTGTACCACTCATTCCTTGAAATGCCATTGTTGCTGCCTCTTTTTGGTACCTCTTCGTGTCCTTTTTTAAAATGAATTTGTTAAAATGTAACTGAAACAAATGAAAAATTATTCTCATAATTTTTTTTGTTCTTTAAAAAAATGCCCAAAGGAAATACTGGGTCAACAGCTGAAATTCACTTACAGTCTTATATAGTAAAACTGCTGGCATGATTCTCTGCATTCCCAGAATAGTAACCAAGTGGAGACGCAGAGAGAAAGCACATGACCCCTGTTTTTTACTCTGTTAAAAGAACAGAAGTGGAAAAAAGTAGTCTAATCACAAATACGACAATGAAAATTTTGATTTAATAACCTATGTGACATTTTATTCAGGTAATTTCTGCCTAGTCTAGTATGTATTCTTAGCCATCTGCTTCCTCCAAAATCAATTTACTATTGCTTCTTTGAGCACGGAGTTGTAAAAGTAGAAAAAAGTAACAAAAAACAAACAAACAAAACTCACCCAACAAGTAAACATTTGACATGTTCTAGGAAAGACATAAAAAGACAGGAAAATGCTAATAAAAATAATGAGCACACTTCTTAATTATCTAAACTGTTTAAACATGGAACAGTATGTTTTTCCTTACTGTATCTGTTTCAAATCATGAGTGCTACTTGAGAAAGCTAATGGTTTTCTGTATTTGGTCTCAAGAGACAGTAACATGCTGAGGTGGTGAAGTAGGAGTAGGTTTTCCTGAGTTTAGAAGAGCTATACCACTGCTGAGCTTCCAGGGAATTAAGGGCAGGCAGCACTTCCACCTTCTCCTTCTGCAGTCCATTTGAAAATGTATCCGGAAATCCCCAGTGCTTGTTGCAGAGCTGGCCAAGGTGTTTCAAGGTTTCTAAAAATTGTTCAGTTTTTATTTGATTAGCACATGGATTTGATGAATGAACCTTCTACCAAATAGAGGGGGAGTGTGCACATGTGCGTGTGTGTAGATGTGTGTCTACGCATTTGTATCTGTATACATTAGACCTTGGGAAACCTCACCTTGTCTATATTCTGTCTTCCTAGATTACTGGGAATAAAATGACATCACTTAACCTGGCTACCATCTTTGGCCCTAACTTGTTGCACAAGCAGAAATCTACAGACAAAGAGTTCTCAGTTCAGAGCTCAGCTCGAGCTGAAGAGAGTACTGCTATCATAGCTGTTGTACAGAAGATGATTGAAAACTATGAAGCCCTTTTCATGGTAAGTGGATGTTTCTTCACTTTACTCCTATGCCTTTTGAAGTTAAATGAAGAAATACCTGGTTGACATTGAAACAGACTAGGATCAAATAAACTTTGGAAACTGCATTAAATTAGGTCCAGTTATTATTGGTAAAAAAGATAGTCTTCTGTCAAGGAGAATGCTTTGCAGTAAGCAAAATGTATACTAAAAAACGCACCAGCATTGCTCATTAGTTTTAAAGACAAGGCTGAAAAGGACCTTTAGCCTCAATTTTGATGCCAGTTTTTCTGCAGGGAGAAAAGATCCATGGTTAATTTAAGGAACAGCCTTCCCTACCAAAAACTTTCTTGTTGGCTGGATAGAAAGGAAAGACAAAGCTTCTCATTTGTCAGTTGTATAAGAGGAGGAAAGCATACTTCTGTGTAGTTCCTGAGTACCTTTCTGCTCTCTTGCTGAAGCAAGGAATTTCTTCATATAAGGGAATCACAGAATCACAGAATCACAGAACGTTAGGGACTGGAAGGGACCTCAAAAGATCATCTAGTCCAATCCCCCTGCCGGAGCAGGAACGCCTAGATGAGGTTGCACAGGAAGGCGTCCAGGCGGGTTTTGAATGTCTCCAGAGAAGGAGACTCCACAACCTCTCTGGGCAGCCTGTTCCAGTGCTCTGTCACCCTCACTGAGAAGAAGTTTCTTCTCAAATTTAAGTGGAACCTCCTGTGTTCCAGCTTGTGCCCATTACCTCTTGTCCTATCATTGTTTGTCACCGAGAAGAGCCTGGCTCCATCCTCGTGACACTCACCCTTTAAATATTTATAAACATGAATGAGGTCTCCCCTCAGTCTCCTCTTCTGCAAACTAAGAAGGGATGATGACCTCAGACATGTTGCTTACTTAAAATGCAGCTTAGTTAAATCACATTCCTTGTGCCTAGCAGTTACCTGGACAGTTCATTTGATGGCTTTACTTTTTTTTATCTACAAAATTACAGGTTGGCTCAGCATGACTTCTGCCTGAGAAGTAGCAGGGTAGCAGAGGCCAGTCAGACTTAGTGGTGGGCACTATCCTAGCTTCATTTTAATAGGCATACACGTCTTAACAAAACCTTGACACTTGTCTTGACACTAAGCAGCACTGTGTGTTATACTGAGGAGATCAGTTCCCTAAGCAAGAGGAGGAATGTTGTGGAAAACTCCTTTAGTGCTCCAGCAAAGCTGGATGCTAGATACAACCCTGATGGGAGAAGATGGGCAAGCCTAGACTGTGGGGTAGTGGGACTGATGGCCACATAGTAGTGTAAGGAGGAATGTGTCTACTGGATTTCAACAGGGAAAAGAGCATGAGAAAGCAGTCATGAGCCCTGCCTATCAGTCTTAGCCTCAGATGAACTTCTCTGTGGTTTTCTCGTCTTTTCCCTCGCACTGTATTGCCTTTCATTACATCCTTTGCTTTATTTTTATTCTTGTTCCATTGAGACACTGAGCAATCTTTTTTTTTTAATGCTTTTCACAGTTTGGGGAAACTTTAGGTGCTGTTTTTCCTTACACAGCAGGAAAAGCAAGTGACAAAGCTGCACTCTTTTGCAAAGGTCATCTGGCCCAGAACGTGGATGGCACTAGGAAGCTTAAAATAATACTTGAATAAGAATACTTGCAATAACTGAAATATTCATAGTGTTGTTTCTCTTTAAGAATGTTTTTGGCCCAGCCACATCTCAGTACATAATACTTGTGGCACACATTCAGACTTTCAGTGTGGAAAGGGTAGGGTTTAGGGTTAGACTAACCTACATATGGTCACTTTTAATTGTGATGAATTTATTGCTTTATCTCTTCAATGCTTGTATTTTCAGCTGAAGATTAAATGCAGTATGGAAAAAAAGAGGTTTATTTTGTTTTCTGGAGCAGCTTTTTAGATTGTGGAGGGAGATTAGAGTCAGATTTCAAAATGAGGGGCTAGCGTCAAGTGGAAGAAAGGCAAACCTATCTCAGGTGCTCTCCTGAAAGCTGATATACATTGATGTGAAATTTATAGAAATGTCTGAGAGATGAGCATCTCTGGGTGCTTTCTCTCTTCCCATTGCCATAGTTTAACAAGCAATATGGCAAGTTCTTCCTGTTTTCTGAAGTAATGTTTAGACTCACACATGATACCTGATCTGTAGGATTGTGTCAAATTGCTTATAGTTGGTGTTTTATAAAGTTTCTACCAGGGTTTACTTTCAGCTTTCTTTTGTTTTCAGCAGCAGCACAGAGAGATTCTCTGTATCCTGAAGATAATTAGCCCAGTTCATCATTTGGCAATAGATGCATTGAAAGGAAAAGACTTGTACATGTAATTGTAATAAAACTGTGATCATTGGAAATGAGGCAGCAGCAACTCCTTTTCCAGACCCATGGGAGTGGGGCCAAACCAGAGCTGCTGTTCATATTTGACATTTATGCTCCTTACAAAAAGAAAAACATCTGGACTTAAGCATTCAGCTACAGCTGAAATGTACAGTGTATTGCTGCTAAGGTGTTTTTGAGTTTGGTTTATTTTTTTTACTGTTACTTTTGTATATGGTGAGTTCATAAAACTCTGATTGGCTTCACCATTGAAACTGGAACAATATTTTGAAATAAAACCTAGGAAACCAGAATGCATTGTGGCACCTAGACCACAGTGATGACATAGTGGTGGGTTAGGAAGGTTCTGTTGGTCAGGATGACCCAGGATAGCAGGGACTGTTTTTATTAAGTCATTATCATTGACATGCAAACATGGATTTTGTATAGGAGATGGATTCTGACCTTTCTTTGTTGATGCTAAGGACGTTAAGGTTTTTCATATCCAACTCTTAACCATTTCAGTGAGTCTTAGGGATGCATTAAACTGTTTTGTGGTAATGTACAGAGGACTGTTCTGTGCCAGTCCCTGAACTATGCCCAGTAGCTGGATGTGGGGAGACGCAGCTTGACCACACTTTGTCTCATTGGTTTTGACGTGGCATAGAGGATGGAGAAGATAAGTTATGCATTTAGCAGCTTTGTCATGCATATTCATCTCCTAGTGCCCAAATCCAGCCCTGCTGCAAGGAACGACTACATAGTGTCTGAAATTCCTTATTTTCACTCTTAGAGGCTACTGTGGCCTCCCCAGTGAGGAGGCAGTCAGATGCTGCCCCTTTGTGCCACATCAGTAGCAAGGGACAGCACAAGGGAGACACTTCAAGGGTCCTTCCACCCTTCTGTGTCTCAACAGCTGTGACTCTTATGTAGCACCTAGCTCCAAAATCCCAGACCTATCTGCTACTCTACTGGAGTACAACAACCTCAGAGCTCTCTGATCCGTCCCAGTAGTGCTCAGCAGCTGCAATAGCTGTTATTTCAGCAGTGCCTTGGCTTCCCTTCTGTCCCTGAATTTCGAGTTCTCAACCACAACTGCCAGTCAGACCATTAATTCAATAGTAGTTACTGCAGATCTGTAACATCTTTCTGAGATACCAATATAGTAGTTCTCTATGAGTGCAGGTTTGTAATTACATGTATATCATTTCTACACTTCCAAGTTAGTTAACTAAACTGAAGTAAATTGCTGCACAGGAGGAAACCCAGAACCCAGTAGATCTCTAGCAAGGAGACCATCAGTACAAATCCAGGTTGAAGGTTCATAGATAAAATGCCTTCATTCACTCAGATAAAAGTCCTATAACTTGGTAAACTATAAAGTTTGAGTTTCACAGATGCTTTCAGTTGGAGCTAAGCTTCCTGTTGGAATTTTCTCAGAGTCATTTTTATGGAATGAATGACTGTTTGATTTGGTTTAGTTTTAATAATGGAAAACATATTTTTATTTTTCTGACAAAGTCCTCTTAGTAAGTTACATACAGAAAGACATAAATTCTGGTTTACCCTCAAACTTTGAGTTAATTCCGCTATATAGAAAGGCTGTCTGAGCACAGAGGTTACAGCACACCAGGTTTCCAAAAATGTATTCCTATAAAAAGAAGATATTTTGTTTAATAACTGGTATATCAATGACCATCAGGAAGATATTTTTCCAGCTTAGAGGCTAAATAGAATTTTTTAAAAAGGAATATGTGATCACACAAGTTTTTCATAGAGATTTTAGATCAGATTGAATTAAATGATGCGTATCTTCATTTATTTTCAAATTTCTTTTTTTAAAGGGATGTGCCTTTTCTGTAACTTGACTCCCTAAATACCTCCCAAATGGAGGTATTCTCCTGAGGAATCTATTAGCAATTCTATTCCAATTTCCCAGGAAATGTCAGGGAGAATAAATGGCCCATGCAGTGTGACCTGAAGGTCAAGAGATTCAGGGTCTGACAAATTGCATCCAGAAACATATTGCACAGTTGATGATCCCTTGCTGAGATTGTCTTGCCTCCAGCTTCATCAGTCATGAATGAACCTAAGCTGTTCAAGTTTCTCAGAGGGTTTATTCTGTTTCAGTGCTTTGAAGGTTGAGTTGAATGTTCCGCTGTGATGTGGGCAAACTCTCTTAAGGATTGATAAGAGTTTACTTGGGCAG